AACCCCAACCCCGACCCAGCTCAACCCCCAGAAAGAGACAAAATAATAATAATAATAATAATAATAATAATAATAATAATAATCTATGTCCTGGATATTTGCTATACTTCAAATTTGGTTTGAGTTTAGAACTAAATTTTGAAGTCATTGAGTTTAAGATGTAACGTTCTCCTAGCATGGTAAATTTATTGCATCCATGTTCTATCTAATTACCGCTTTTCACGTTCGTCAAGGCTTATTTTCTAGCAATGCCTAAACAAAACTCGCTTGGTTTTGTCAGGCGATTATCACTGGGAAAATGAGAATCTTAGGTAGTAACATGGACACTCTGAAAGTTGTGAACTGACAGAAATTTACACACATTTGCAGAATATATTGGGTCTTCTTAGATCGATGTATGTGCTGGTCACACTGGAAGAAGATGCTGCATTTCTTCGATATGGATACTTATCAACAGACAATGCTGCTGCTGTGAGAAAAGAAGTCGCCAAACTTTGCAGTGAAATCAGACCACAAGCACTTGCTTTGGTTAGTACTTTTGGTATACCAGATGCTTTCTTGAGTCCTATTGCCTTTGATTGGGTTGCTGCAAATTCTTGGTCCACTGTTGAGAACTAGCTTTAACAGCCTCTTCGCGCTAGTATTCCTGTGAAATCAGACTGGTGAAGATTTTGAATCTGCTGGAGAAAGTTAGATAGGGAATAATGCTTGAATTCGAAGGGAAGAGCTGGAGAGTTCATAAGCCCTGAAAATTGAGTTGAAAACTAGTCTGCTCAAATTTTATGTGGTTGTGTTTTGTTTTTCTTGTACGTTGCAATAAGTTGGTTTAGATGTTGCGAGTACTACCTTCTTGTAACCAAAACACGTAATTCTATTTGGTTGTGTAAAACGGTTGTTCAAATAAAAATTATTTAATAGCGCATCTGAGCTCGACCCTTAGTTGAGTTGACACGAACTCTGCCTCTGCATCCGCAATTTGTTGTTCGACTCCTCTCTCTTTTATTTCTACGTATTTGCATAAAAACTCGAGTCATTTCATAGAATCATTGTTTCACCAAGTTAAAAGGGCTCATTTATTTAATTTCCGTGTAATACTTTGGTAAATGGGTACCGATAACAAAAATGCTAATTTTCGGCATTGCATCAAACAATGCTTAAAAAATAATGTGAAAAACAATGGATAATGTGATTGTGGCCTCCTTACTACATAGACGAGTGATCATCACCACTCTAGATGAATA